TTACACTACTTCCACTTGCTACACAAATCCATAATGCACTGTTATTTCCACTAGCTTGCTGATTTTGGGGGGGCTTGAGCCCCGGGTCTCTGTAAGTCGATTTGGTGACAGTATATAATGTTCTCCAAAACTTACTACAGTACGTACAGGTATTTCACAAATGCCTGAATTCGATGGAAGTCCTCTGCTATCAACTTTGTTCTTCGATATAATCTACATTTTTAGTTAAAAAAAAAACAAAGTTATAGAAGACATTTTAATATACGTACATGTAAGTAAAAAATATATCGCGTTTAAAACTTAAACAGCTTAAATCAGTACTAAAAACAACATAAAAACTGGAACAAGTTCTTTTAAATTAAATTACTCCTAAGTGCACAGACAGGCAGATGGACCAGCAGACAAAAGGGTTGAAAGCTTAAAATTTAATACACTAAGGGAAAATTTCACCAACATTAATATTATGGACCAATGGGAAAATACCTTATCGAAATTCAATTTGACGGACGCTGTCAAAGGTCTCTGAATATTAGTGATTTCTATTGAAATATTGAATAAAATCGTGAAAATTCGACTGTATTATAAACAAGACCACTTTTTGATTCCAACATGATGCTTTTGTACAGAAAAAACAGGACAACTTTCATGTATTTTGATATATGTTATAGGTTTACATTTAACAATCCGTTATCCCCCTCAGCGAATGGGAATGCGGCAAATAATAGGTCGATTTTCTAGCTGTTAAATTTGGCAGCAGATTTGGACGTTAATGCATGGCGCTCTTGAATTTACCAACTTCAATATACTGAAAGTTATCATTACATACCTGTTCAATAGTGTGGATTTATCTGTATTTTGCAAGAAAATAGAATATAAAATACATTCCATCCAATTCCTCATCTTCCTTTACGTCATAATAGTAATCATTTATTAATTTATGGGTTAATGAATTTCTTCAAAGCAGCTAATGTCTATTGTTTGTCTATTTTTCTTTTTTAACTCGCAGGGATATCTATCTGACACTCGCAGGGTTGCCAAGTCTAACGAAGATCAGGTCCCGTGGTGGATTGTGCGAAATGAATCTTTTACATTTGCTGGTTTTGAATTTTTTCATGAAAATTTACTAGGTATCATGAATATAAGCATCTTTGGTAGATTGTTCGATTCGGAATGGGAAAGATCTCCTATTTATGAAAATATTTTTGGTCATCTAACCATTGCAATCAGTGCAAAAATACTGTGACATATGATTTATAGCATAACCCGCTGCCCTATCAATACAAATTTAACATACAGGTCGCCTAGCCGTGGGGATGCAGTGGTCGGGATGAATATCACGGCAGCAACTGGTGATTTGGGCATGTCTGGTAACAACGTATGAAGATTTTGTACAATTTCTTTGAAAATGATGAAAGATATGTCTGATTTGGCAGGGTAATGTCGCAGAAAAATGGCAGTCACTCCTTCAGACACAGTCCGGATCGAAAGATGACGATACTCGTAAAATGTATTGATACTTCTAAATATAGAATCGTATCGAACATCCCTACTGTCAAGATGTACATATAACCGAAGGTATCGACGGAGCTATATTGCAGCGTCAAGGAAATAATTTTAAATTTTCATTTGCATTTTTTCAAGTGTTGTGCAATGATTTTGGGACAATGTCACGAATAGTCTTATAAAGCATAGTAGAGTATATTTCAACAGTTGGGGGAATTTACTCCACTGTGACCAGGAGGGTGAAACGGGATATTAATGCACAATCTGGCAACCTTGTCGCACCCTCACAAAATGGCCGCTGATAACTAGACAAGTCACCGTGTTGTCATTGAATAGTATGGAATTAAACCTTCAGAGTATAATATGTTTTTTGACTGGTACCAAGAGTTGACAGATCCCACACATGTGTCACTCCTTGAAATGCAATAATCAGCTGTATTCAAATAATGTCTAATATGAATATAACCTAGAATGTGTACTCGTGAAAAAAGAAAAATATGGCAAATTTGTAGTTTTTTTGCAGGTTTTAGGTTTGATGGTAGCTTGAAGGCGTATATTTGGGAATTTATTAATCGCTGTGAATATAGTGTGGATGTTTGTTCAGTTTCTGAACAACGAAGAATATTCAACTTTATGGATGTATGGATATCAAAAAACCTGAATGGTTTTGTGGGAATATCAATCTAAGGTGCCATAATTGTTCTGATTAACGGTAAGTAAATGAATTAATGTTTGGAAACGAGCAATATCTTTTGGTAGAGCCTGTCATCAAGTAGGTGCTTAATGGCTATCTGCAAGAGGTTTATAGGAAAAAACACCCAGTATCACATATCAATTGAAGAAAATAATATAAACATGAATAAAAAATCAACAATAGTAATTAAACATTTCTTAAAATTTTTACTGAATTATATGTAATTTCTTAATATTCAATAAGCTGGTGATGTTTCAATGACAAGTTGTCATCTCATACTTTGATAATATTTTGTTTTCAACATTTCATAGCTATTGGTTGCTAAAATTTGTTGATTGGAACTTGAAGCTCATTCGCTGTATCTGACGGTCTGTTACCCTATAGGTGGAGAATAACGGACTGTTGTTGGTGAAATTGGGCCTAAATTTATTTATCTGTTTTTAGATGCAGATTTATCAATCACGTCTTCCAAATTTATTTCTATATCCTTTTCGATAAATAACAATCCAAGTGCAGAAAATCTTTCTTGGCCCCTAGAATGTCGTAGCTAATCCAAATTATCCGCATAACAGAGAGTGACCTCTCGCACGTGGCAGACGTTACTGGTAACGTTATTGCCACTTGAAAAAAAGTATCCACTAATTGAAAGATCTCTTGTTTCAGTTCATTTAGAACAGTTTCATAAGATGCATCCTTTCGTCCATTAGCTAAGAAGTCGTCTTTGTAGTAGGAATAAGAATAAGGTAATGACATGACACTAATAGCAGCTACTATTTTGTGAGTATCGCGTTTGGGAGGGCTAATTTGTGGCATTACCATCATGTTTGTGACCATCGGGCTTGGGGGGCTAATCTTGAGCTTGGGGGAGCTAACCCCTCCAGCCCCCCCTAATTGCGTCACTGGTTATTTCACAATTCATTCCTCTGGTGAATAAAGAGTGGAATCAACCTGATCATGGAGAATCTGGCAGCACGTCTGAAGTTTCTGAAAAAAAACAAACATCTCTCGGTTGCTTAAAAATAATAGCTACCCCAATTCTATTATGGCTGGATCGACGGGTGGAGATAAAAACAAAAGAAAAATTTGAGGTAGCCGCGTTGATCTGTGGCGTGGTCGACCCTTGAGAGCGGGCCTTGACCGGCTGGGCCTAAAGTCCTTGAGTTTCAACCGTATATATTATATGAATGCGAGGTGGTTGTTTTTTCTTCCCGCACCAGTGGCTGTCTCTTTGAAATGGGTGGAAGGAACGTTGGGCAAGGCTTTCGGATATACCCAAATGCACTGATCTATCTATACAGTGTGTTCCAGATTCGCTTCTCTACACGAAACGAAAAATGTCGAATTTTGTTTTTTGCCAGTAAATCCGAAACAATTAATTTGACAGCTGTCCAAATGTAGCATTATTAGAATATTTTTTTAAGGCAAACATGATAGCGTGGGTATGTCTCAATCGTATTTTGTTTTCCCGCAACCTTTTTCCATTTTTGAAAAGAGCGTAAAATTTCCAGCCTAGTAATGTCTCACAAGTGCATAAAGTAGAAGTATCAACGAAATATCATCACACGTAATGGTATGTATTAATTTTTTTCAAAGGCGGTCATGATTTATTTGTCAGAAAATAAAATTAATAAGTAAGGCATTTTTTCATCTAAGGAGGCCCTGACTTTGACGTTAAATAATTCAAAGTATTAAAATTGTGTTTTAGTAAGTAGTAGGTACGTTTTCTCCCGTAAATCTGACAAAATAAAATTGACAAAAACCTGTTGAAAATGGCCGGTATTCCCTTCTCCAATGAATAAAAGTTTGACATGTTAGCGCTGTACTTGCAGGCATACAGAAACGCCGACATTACCTCAGCAAGGTACTTGGAAATGTACCCCGCACGACGGCAGCCTCATAAAACCCAATTAGAAAAGTAGTGGTTAATTTAAAAAACCATGGGGAGCTACCTAAAAGCGGATACAATATTGAAAATGAAAATCGTGACAGAAACATTTTACAAACTGTCGGCGAAATGTGTAGTGCATCAGTAAGAACTACAGAACGAGAAATTGATGTGTCAAAATCAACAGGTACAGAGAGTGTTGAACAAGAACAAATACCATCCATACAAACCTATGGTAGTTCACGGACTTAAGGAAACTGATTTTCCAAGGCGGATGCGCTTCTGTAAGTGACATACATCTAACGAAAATCCCGATTTTTTAAATCATGTCTTGTGGTCCGATGAGAGTAGGTTTACGAATTGTGGAGTTTTTAAATAAGCACAACACTCATCATTGGGCTGTGGAAAACCCGCACGTAGTGGCAGACCAGAGATGGAACTGAGATTTGGTGTGGGGTTATTGATTATTTAATCGAACTTACCTTCATTTTTTAACTGGGTATTAATCATTTGAGGAAATCGACTCATACGAGGGAAGTCTTTTAAGTTTTGCATATAGAAACATAGTAGGCCGCGCGGATCGAACTTCAGTACTGAATCTTAAGCTCACTCTTTAGTAAACTTAAATTCAAAGTTTCACAACAATATGTGGGTTAAGTTGAAAAACGCTTTTTAGCGACACTTCGCCTTTTTATACTTTGTATAAATAAAGCCGGATTCCGGAATCCCATGATGAGGAAGGAATGGTTAAGCAGTTGTTATTTGTGCATAAATTAAAAGAACATAAAATCGTTCTTAATAAATCGCAAGTTCCACAGGTTAAAATAGAAAAGAAGGCCGCTTTAAAAAATTTTGTACAACAAAATAAAGATATTTTTAACGCGACACTTACAACAAAGCATCAAAAAAATAAGTAATATGACGACCGAAATAAAGAAGAAATTTGATATTAATAAGACATGTAATAAAGCTATAATCCATAAGTCTTGGGAAAAGTTGTTAATGGAAATGTTGGAAGTACATAAGGATCCCATCTTCAAAAAATACCAGGTAAAGCAAATTAAACTTTATTGTATCGTAGGTTTTTTTAAACATCAAAATAAATCATTCAGGTGCTGTCTCTGTTGGAGCCAACGAAAGCATAACACTTGCTGAATTCTCCACCTCGGCCATCAGTGACACCCTGGCCCCCTCAAGTGCAAAAGAAATGACTATTCCTGCAAAGAAAACTAAGATGTCACATTTACCAGAAACTGAAGAAACCCAAAAATTATCAACTGCTGAGTTGCAGCGATTAGTTCTATTAGAGCAGTTGAAGTTATGTCAAATGCAACAAGAAGAAATCATTAAGAGACAGAAGCAAGGAATTTATTCCGGATTTTATACTGTAGGACAGGAAATCTTGCTTTTAATTGCCCAAAGCATCGTTCAATTATCACTCGTTCTCGACAAAAAACGTTATTATAATTTTGCTGTTCTGGGGTTGTTGGATTTCTTCAGGGAGTCATAATCCAAGGGGATATAGAATAGCCATCATCCCCTAATAATACACATTTTTCGGTGCTGTTTTTAAGAATGTTGAATATATTGGAATTTTTAAATATTCTCCTGTCATGTACAGAGCCTGGCCATTGACAGTCTACACTTGTAAATATTTCTTTGGCATTGCAAGTTGCCTGTATGTTGATGCTAGGATATCCTTTCCTGTTTATATATTCTTCACCGAATTCAGCAAACTTTGGAAGCCTGACATGCGTACAATCTATTGCGCCGATAGAATTTGAGAAACGGTATCTCTCCGATCTCAGTTGTTTAGCATCCATAAAGTCTTCGGCACTTTTGGGGAATTTAATCCAAATGTTGGCCTTCTCCAAAACGGCGTTCAGGACGGAAGTATATGTTTTACAAACAGTAGTCTGGTGAACACCAAGCTCTTCAGCAACGGCATTTTGAAATCCAGGGTCTGACAACTGACGCAGAAAAATTTTCATCTTATTCACAGCTGATAATGCTCCTCCTCGCTTTTCACCGCTGTCAGCCAAAAAATAATGCGCTAACCACTCCACATTTTCGCGATTAAACCGATATAATTTTCGGAAATCATTGTCTCGGCACTCTTTACGTACACTGTATATACTTTTTTTACCCGAATATTCATATATTCGGCCATAACTACCAAATTCCAAATCAGTAAAAACAATCCGTATATGTAGTAGAACGAACAAAATTTCACTAAAAGCAAATGCAAGCTGGGATCGACCTACTTTAAATATCCAATAGCAATTACTACACTAGAAAAAGCAATTGCGTGTTTTATTCATCCCATTCTAAGCATGTTTAAGCAATAGCTGGTGTTTTTTAAGAAAAAGCTTTATCTAAAAGCAATTGCTGCAACTTTAAGCGATTGCTGAAGGCAAAAGCAATGACTCAGATTTTTATTCATAGGTTTTTAAGCTTTTCCTTCAATTTTGTAAGACAAAGCAATTCCTATATTTTTATTCATTAGGGCCAATATCTGAAGAACAAACAGACTGACAACACCAGACTACAGCTAAGTCAACCACATTCATGGAAAGGAGAGAAATCCGCATGTGAAGGCTGAGAAACCAACACCAGTTTTCAATAGAGACTCAAAAGCAATCGGAAGTGAAGGCAAATATGGGCTCTGTCATGAAATCAGTTATGTAATATCACAGCGTAATACTGACGAGGTACCACAACCATCACAAAAATTACATAAGAATGAACCAATCCCGCCACAAACAACTAAATCAACTAGCAATGAAAAACGCACCACTATATCACATGGTCTTCCATAGTGTACATGTCAGATAGCATTAAAAAACATATATCATTTTCGAAGTTTTTCGCGATTGCAAAATTTCCTCGCCAATATGTCGTGGGAAGTAAAAGATTAGTTGATCCCTGAAAACTTGTTTATTCAATACAGTCTCCCTTGAGTTTACTACATTTTTCCAGCAATACTGTATTATTTGATTTATACCTCCTTTGAAAGGAGGTATACTCCTTTGAATGACTTTCTGGAATCCCTTCAAAATGTCCATCTACGGCTGTAGACTTGTTCACTTGGACTTCTTCAAGATGGAAACAAATGAAAGCCAGAACACATCTTGTGTTTACCACGCTGGGCTTTGAAGTGAAAGTAAACCCCTTTTAATAAATATGCATGTTCCTAGTACCAGAAATGCATCAAAAATGGGTAAAACATTTTTCTAAGTCAACTCCAACAACATTTTTTTTTCGTTCCGGGCAAAGCTTGTTAGGTTTTTGGTTTCTGAGCAAAAAAGATTTATGTGTTCTTTTCTTTAAAGTTAGTAATATTCTTTGAGATATAAGCGAGTTAATGTTTGAATATTGAATATTTTTTTAGCGGCTGGGCTATTGGTATGGGGTATCATAGATCCAGTTTCTTAAAATAGAAGTATAGGTTGAGACCAGGGACTGCATTCATTTTACTATCTGTGGTATCCGGTCAGTATAGGAAACTGTAGCAAATAGACGGTATAACCTCTTCCTTTTATTCACTGCTGCAACTACCATAGATCCTTTTGAGTCGCAGGTGGACACTGACCAACCCCATTGTCAACAATCTAATGTAAATCTGCCCCCTGTATACGTCCTTCCTTCCACCTTTTCACCTCCTCGGCTCGTCCTCGTGGCGTGCCCGACAGGACAAAGCCCTGAACCCAACTGCGCTGCAACAGCAACCGTCTGGAGAGCTGCTGGTGTGCGTGTGTGGTGCATAGATGCCCTTGGAACATGGTCGCGTCTGTCCCAAGGCCGGAAGGCCCTGTTTCGGCCCATTCCGCCACCGCACCACCATAGGGCAAAGACCTCCAAGATGAGTCGCTCCGACCGCAGACATGCTAACATCAGCGAAATCGGCCTGCGACGGACGCGACGATAGCAGTGGTGTGGTTGAAAAGAGTGTTCGAGTTATCCGGTATTTGTTTTCATTTGTCAACGAGGCATTTAGAATTAGTATAGTTTTGGCGGCAGCAAGCTCTAAAAAGTTGTCGTCAACGCTATCATAAATTACTTTATGGCCTTGTCAGATCATGTGACGTGATATAAGATTAGTCATCATCTAAGAAAAAGTCATACCTACTTGCTAGCAGATACGAAGACAAAAGAAAATATAAGTATAAAATGCACAGGAACGATAACAGTTTATTATGAATCGATACACTGTAAAAAGGCACAAGCTACACACTCTGAGAAAAAATTCTGTCAAGTGTATAGACATATTTTGTACCAATTGTACCGTTCATCTGGCAACGTCGTCTCTCACCGCTTAATGAATCCACTCGTCAGGCTCGGCAGCATGGAAGTAACGGAGCGACATCCAAGGGGAGGATGATAAGAGTTAAGGGCAAATATGTGAAATACGTCTAATAGCTACATAGAATTTTCGGAGCTGGAAGCGTATAAATATGCTACAGCCAAAAAATTGAGATATACCCTCCTCCATCCCCAAAAATCCCTAACCTTCAATTTTCAATCCCGCCAACACTTTTTTCCTGAAAATGATCAGGAGCCTCTGTTTCGTCAAAAAGGCAGTTTGGCCAATTTTAATTTGTTTCGTTTCTTACCGTTAGCTTCTCTTCATTTTACCAATGTCCAGTGTTTGGTACCAGTTGGTACAGTTTCCCTAGCACTCGCCAAAATAGAAAGACCTCCTGCAGACCGTCCGATAGGGAAGTGCTATCTATCTGTCCAACAGACCTCTTTTGAAGTACAGCAGGCATGGTCAATGTAGTCAGAGTGACGACATCCTAGTCTTGAACAGATTGAGCGGGGTTGTATGGAGAAAAGTACTTCCTAATTCCAAACTGTTGTCCAGCAAGTCATGGGACAGTCGAGATGTGTTCATTTCAGTCCTCAGTAACCCACAGGGGTATTACATCATCAAAAAAATCGGTAAAATGTCAACTTGTGCAGTAGGTAGCCGCTAGTGTATTCCACGCCTACTGCAAGTGAATATGACGTGAATGTTTTGTTTATTTGATTGTTTAATATTTATTTAGCATGATTCCTACAATTATATTCTTTTAGAAAACTAAAACAATTACATAACATTTAGATATTTAGGAAAACAAGATTTGCCTCTCTAAGAATTTTTACTGTCCATGAAATATTCCTTTAATTTTCTTTTGAACATCTTTAAATTACAAGTAGACTTTATATCATTATTTAGTTTATTAAATTCAAGTAATCCTTTCTGAAATATTGATTTGCTAGTTATTTGCTATTGATATTGCAATTTTGTGAATGAAAATCTATATTTCCTCCTGTATAATAATTGTGGTAATGACTGTTCAATTCTATTGTGGTAAGAGATGATTTTTTATTTTCAGTATAAAAATAAGAACCAAACATGATATGAAATTTTTTATATTCAACCACTGCAATTCTTGTAACATAGATTTTATTTTGGTGTACTTATTTCTATTCAATATTATTCTCATAACTTTATTTTGCAGGACTTTTAATTTTAAGATACAGCTTCATTGACAGTGAACAAGATAGTTGAACAATATAGTAAATGCGGTAGAATAATTGTATTATAAACTATTTTTTTGGAATATGCGCTAAGACTATGGGAAGCCCTATAAAAGTATTTTTTTGTCAATTTTTGAAATCATGTATTCATAATGATCCTCAAACTTCAGTTTGCTATCAATATATACGAGTCCCTTCCCACTTCAGTTGCCCCAACTATTGAAATCTTATCAAACACAAATAATAAAAATGTAGCAAGGTGTTATAGGTTTAAAATATTAACAATGAATATTTTGATAATATATAGTAGAAAACACCAACTTCATCACTCCCTAATCAAATTTGCAGCATAAAAATAACACACGTTGCAATTACAGCATATCAACCTATTTTCATTTCAATGCAAAATAAGTCTATAACGCATAGGTGGCTGTGAAAAATAAAAGCCATGACAATTGTTTTTATTAATCACAGCTGTCAGATTACGTTTAAATTAGTTTTGGCTAGTTAAGGTTTTCAAAATGGGTAGAGGAAAGGTTATTACTGAGAAAATTCGGTTACTGATAATTAAATTTTTTAATTCTGGGAAATGAATCTCAGAAATTGCAACTTTGTTAGACTTATCGCGGTACAGTGTGACAAATATTGTTAGAAGATATAACGTAACTGGTCCAGTTAATATATATTAAGCCAGGATATGTGGAAAAAGTAATATCACAAACGCCGACCGAAGAGCATTAAGAAGAATAATCGTGAAAAACAGGCGTGCCAATTATTTACAATTAAGTGCTCTGTGGAGTGACGCTGTTGGAAGGAGAATTTCGAGGTCCACAACTCATAGAGAGGCCCACAAACCGGGATTTAGCACTTGCAAGGTAAGTTTTCTTATAAAAAAAGTGAAGTAAAAACCCTAAAGTTGCACAACTTGTTTATAAGCTAAAGAAAAGCCACTATTAACTCCACTGCAAAAGAAAAATCGGCTTAGAT